TCGCATGAGGTTCGGACCACTATTAAAAATGATGGTGGGGTATACTCCACCTATTACATTTAATATAAACTTGAGAATCGAATACAGAATCGAAGAGAATCGTTAGGATCCTTAGCAATGGTTTTAGGTATATAAAAGATTTAGCTGAATTTCTATAATTATCAGATATTATAGATTATTATTATCCTGAGCAAATTAGATTCATGAATGCTCTGTCCTATCCAGCTATGATACCATTAATTAATATAATGAAAAATAGATTCGATATTTACAAGAAATGGTTTATAAGTATAGAAAAATACCAGAATCTATTTCAAGCATTGTAAAAAATAAAATGATAAACCAATATATTATATAGCCTGGGATCCTACCCCAAAGCTATAAAATTTTTTTGTTATATCCTATATATTGGTAAATTTTAAATTGACAGATCAACCCCAAAGCATTAACATGTATCATGCTCCTGATATATATCTATTATTTTTTTCAGGACCTCTCTAAGTAATGTTATATCTTTTTTAATTCTTTCTATATTTTTGATTATCTTATTATATAAAGCTATGGATTCCAAGACTTTTGATTGAACTCGTGTCTTATGCATATCCATTTTCTGATAGAATTACGATAATTACCACCTATTCAATTTTTCTATATATCAGTAAATTTCAAAATGATGGATCTGATCCAATTGATTCTTTTTAAATATCTGCTGGCAATATCTGGATTAATATATTTTATTTTAAGATATAGTTTAATTTCCTTGGTATTTGTATAAGAAAATTTACATTCACGAATATTAAACTTTTGGAGTTTTGAACAAGAATGAATAACATTTCAAATTGCTATTTCAGAAAATTTTTCGTGATAAGAGATATTCAGATATTCTAATTTATGACATGAATTTGTAATTGCATGTAAACCTTTATCAGTTATTAATCCATCACTATATCTCACCAAGTTGAGATACTTCAGATGAAGATATAATTTTGCTATTTGGTTTAATGTTTTATCACTAAATTTTTCACTAAAAGCAATATCTAAATAAACTATATTTGGGAGCAGATCTGCCATAATTTTAAATTTTTTATCTGAAAGATAATAGTAATATGAAATTTTTAAATAAGTTACATTTAAGCAATAAATTAACTTCTGCTCCTGTATTATTACCATAAAAATTTTTTGTGCATTACTCATCTCTAGTTCAATGCATTTCCATAGAATAGGAGTACCATATCTATACTATAATCAAGAAACAAATAGAGTGAAATAGAGAGATTTATTTATCAATAAGAAATATAAAATCCATTCTAATACTTCTAATATACTAACAATTCTTGAATATGTTATAAATAATATATTAAAAATACAAGAAAGATTTAAATTTCAAATCAATGGTCAGTTACCTATATGTGGACATATACGTTCTTTTTTTGAGCATGAGGTAATTAATTTCGATTTGAAAAAATATTTTTATAATGTATATAACCTAAAGAACTATTCATAATTTATTATAATATTCAAACATATCAGCTATCGCAACTAAAATCATAGAAAAATATAATCTCAGTTTTAAGATAAGTGTGGCTGATCTCAGTCAATACACCTTAGAGTTTTTTGAGAATTTAACTAATGATAGAAAATGGGATCAACATGCAGGCATCTTTGAGAAGAATTCAAATTTAGTGATGATCAGATAGGTGTATTGATACCTAATCAGAGAGGTGAGAAAAATAAAATTATAAATTTAGTTGAAGGTAATTGTAGAATAGTTATAACCAAGTCTCCAAAAAATTCAAAAGAAAAGATTATCAGAGAAAAAGCAAAATGAATTTTGCAAAATAGATATGGATTTAGTGAGGGTCAAGTGGATAACTTATTTTCTATTTAGAAAAATTTTCAATCAAAAAGCAAAACCATGTATGAAGTGCTCTGTTCCATAGTAAACATCTCTATTTTTAAGAAATAAAGTCTTTTTTTTTCGAAAAATTGGATCCTACAAGAAACAATTGAAGAGATGGCATATTAGCTTTTACAGGATAAGTTTAGTATTTGGAATATAAAAGTTGAAGCTTATGCCTTAGCCCTATTAGCAAAAAATATTAATACTGTCTTTCTTGACTCAGAAGAGAATTAAGAAGCCTTGGTGCTTTACTCACAATAGTTGAGGCCACAAAATTTTCTGATTTTACAGAAGAAGCTAACAAAATTCAGAGAGACAATTAGAAAAAAGCTAAAACCAATCATATTGATTATTCAAATGAATTTATATTAGAATCAGTCAAGGAGAGATTAGATGCATATAATTTAAAAACTTTATCTGATTATTTGGCTCTTGCTGATATTATAGTGATGCTTTATATATGTCCCGCTGAACTTATAACTTTACGTATTATAGACTTGGAAGTAATGAATCATGTAAAGAATAGAGGTCAGGCAGATATTTCTCGAAAATTTAGATTTATGGAGAAGAATTAAGCAAGAGCTAAAGAATTACTTATCTGGATTCAGTATGCAATATCTTCTGACCGAATGGATAATCCAGGTAAGCCAGAAGTTAAATGGTTCAATAGTCTCTTAAAAGACTATGGTTTAATTCCTAAATACTTATACAAAATAGGGACGGTTTATGGTGTTGTAATATATAAAATTAAGAATATGGTCCATGCTTATACAATTGCTCGAGAGTGTTTACGTCACTCATCAGATAACCATACTTCTCCTGTGCAAAATTACATTGTAGTAAACTACAGAAAGTGCAAACAAAAACCTGAAGAAACAAGACCATTCTGCCTTTATGATGATAGTAATTAATTATGCTTCTTTAATTTTTCTATATGTATAGTAATATCTTTATTATCATTATACTATTCAGAGTCAGACCCAGATTCAGATGAAGACAAGAATAAGGACTCAGATGTGGTATTATTAAAAATTAGTTTTTTTCTAGCTTTGCACTTTCTTTTAGTCTTGCATGATATATGATTTCTTTGAGGGATATCCAAGTTTGCTATCAAGTTTATAAGTTTTTGACAAACCTTGGGTTTTACTATCTCTAATAATTGGTGAAAAGAGATTCAGATTTTTTTATCCAATACTTGTTTAACAATATCAGATACTGCTTTATTGATAATATTGGGTAAATTTTTATCTTTTACAAAACCCAATTTTTCACAATCTCATAAGTGATAATTGGACATTCTGAGCCTGAATTAACTATTCCCTCCACAACTTTATCATTGACATCAATCAAACATTGTTTAAAGTTTTTTATGGATTCTTCCACTAGGTTGTCATCAATATTATTATTAGCTTCAGTCATTGTAAATGTGAAATTATTATTTATTAATACAAATTTAAAAATCCAGAATTAAATATATTGTTATAATAAAACATCACTATGAAAATTTTATCTTGTGAAATTAATAAAACACCAGTAACCATTATATTGGATTCTGGTGCTAATTGTAATATTATGGACGAGAGTATAGCAAAAATAGTAGGCTTAAAAATTGATAATACCTCTGATATGAAAATATACAGTCCCATTAGTGAGTTCAATATATTAGGAATAATTCGTGCAATAGAGATTTCGATCCAATGTTTTCGTTACCAATGAACCCGAACTTGAATCTATATTGTCTATCACGTTGAAGGATTGAGTGTACAGCGGATGTAGCAAGTTCATCCTGTTATAATAGACAAGTTAGTGTTTACATTTCCTGTGTACCTTGTTATATTGCCAGAATATCTCATACCAACAAAACTGAACGTTCGATTTCATTTGCCACTTTCTTCTCTTGCGCTAACGTAACCTTCTCCCAAAAGTTATTAATCGAACTTGACTTTTTTTCATTCTATTAAAAAAAAAATAACCAATTTGGTAAGAAACAGAATCACCCGAGTCTCAATTCACAAGCTCCCAATTACGATCAGAAGTAATAGATATTAATGAGACCAATTAAATGTGTAAACATCCACCGAATCGCAATTCATGCATTCCCGATCGCAATCAGTAATGTTGGGTGGTGAACACATTTGGTCAGGAACAGCCACCCGAATCGCAATTCATGCATTCCCGATCGCAATCAGTAATGTTGGGTGGTTGAATACATTTGGTCAGGAATAACCGCCCGAATCGCAATTCATACATTCCCGATCGCAATCAGGAATGTTAGGTGGTTGACCACATTTAGGCAGGACGGAACCCCTGAGTCGCAAATAACGATCCCCGATCGCAATCAAGGACGTAGGGTAGTTAAACGCAGATCGCAACCCATCCAAAAAGGCTATTGCCATTTCAGACCCGTCCACTGTAAAAAGTAATACTTAACTTGTAATAAATTAAGCGCGTTTATAGCCAATTTAGTCAATTCCGGGGATGTTCGTTCGTGGCTGAGTATACTAGTAAGGCTACGAGTATATCGTTTGTGTTCGTCACATTTGTCAGCACGGAAATCAGAACACTTTTGTCGAAATAATAGAAAATTTAACAGTGTCCACTCGCGGTCCAAAGTAAAGAAATCAGGATCATCTAACGAGATTCCTAACAGTATAAAAAGGAACTTTAGAAATCACAGAGTTACAAATAGAGCGTGCTAAGAAAGTAAACTTACCGTTGGGAAGTCGACATGTTTACGAAAATTTGTGCACTTGAAACGGATTATTCTAATAGTGAAATTGAGTATAGTATTATAGATTAGCAATATTATGATTGGATCAAGTTTTTCGTATCCGACGATGCGTTATTTATATATGATATCATGTATGTACTGTACGTTGCTTCCCACTTCCCACCTCCTTCCCACGCTTCTTTCTTTTTTTTCTTCTCTGCAAAATATCGAGAAAGTAACGTTATTCGATTTGAGCAGGACTTGGCTCCTCACATTGTGAGACGGCTCGTTGGGTGGTGTTGCTTTTGTATTCTACTTATTAATAATACCCGTAAACTTTTTTGTTCCACGTTTCCAAGCAAGTAATGGACGCGTCTACCAGTAAACGAAATGGACCGACTCCTTCAAAGGCATATAAACGGAATTAGCGTAAGAAGTTGGTATGATATGCCAAAAAGCGAAACTCGGAAAATGTATAAATGCGGTGATAAATGAAGAAAGCTTCTCTACTCACAATACTAGCAACGATAACGAAGATGACCGAGACGACGATAGAACCGAGATTCTCTATAATTCGAAAAAGGTAAGTTAAAGGGTATATTTAGTGATTATAGGATATTTTTTTTATGGTACTATGAGATGAGATCGTCAAATTACTATCGTTGGCGTAGTGAGGAGAGAAAGATCACACAGGCTTACCGCGATTTAGAGTCAAAGACTCATGGCTTTGCCATAGACCGCTGAGCTACGAGACGAGAAATAATTTGTATGTTTATCCGCCTCATATTTTATCATGAAGCAAACCTTTAGATAATTCTTCGAATTATGTGGCTTCGTCTAAAGATAATCTATATCCTCTATTTTAAAGCATAAAACTCAATTGGAGACTTTCCAGTTAACGGAAAATGAAACTCGTCAATATATCGTATCTCAATGGATTTTCGAAGATTTTCTTGCCAGCGATCTTAAACCGAGCAAAATTTTACAACCAACCGCCTTTTTGAATTCCCAGTTTACCTTTCTCAAAAAGTTTCTTGAGAAGAGACAGCAGAGACAAGTTGTTCGACGGTTACTTAGCCAGGGTTTACTTCCATCAAATGCCATAAAAACCAGTACTTATACGATCAACTTTGCTGTGCTATCTACCGACCATCTCGAAATACTTTCGAATGCAATTCAGGAAAACTTATATAAGGATGATATCGTAAAAAAGTCTTTACCCCCCAAAACCATTCAAGAAATTCCATCATTTTCTGAGATACCTCGAGAATTTATGTGTTTGCTCGAATCAGAGATCTTTATTCTAAATGAACTGGCGGATCAAGTGGAGCATATTTATTCCAAAGAATCTTCAGAACACAAACAATTGTGGAAAGAATTTGCCTTATGGGCGTGTTTTTTTCACCGGACCCAATTTTAATCAACACTTTCGTCACCACTGTCGTTGTCTCTGGTCTCAAGTGAAATGTATTTACCGACATGTGAGGGTCCAAGAGAAGCTGTTAGAAGGACACAGTATACACGAGACATTTCTGCGCTACCCGAGTGATAAACTTCACATTGCTGAAGAAACAACTAAAATCGTTGCAAGTGGTAGCAATCTTCAGGGTTACCAGCACGTTTTTAATCCACTGTGTTTTACGAATAGTTTAGGGGAAACTGTTGTGGATTTTTTTGATATTGACAAAATATTGGCAAGAGAATCAGAAACGGTGGTAGATAAATACTGTAAACATATGTTCGATAATCCCAGGCAATTTAAATCGGATTTGATTGAACATTTTGGATGTTTGCTGATAGCAACAATATGCCATACACCACAACAAACACCGCCTCTTCTCACTACGAAGCACATCAAAAATGTGTTCTAGATTTGATAAAAGGACTTCAACCGCTTTCTAGGTCAGTTAACAAGTATCTCGAAACCACTTATTCAGTTTTGTATTCTAAGATGAAAAAACTTGATCTTGGGCCAAATGCTCCGAAATCTTTTGGTGTTTTTCCCACGGTTTCTGTTAACTTTAATATAATATGCCAATTTTACCGCGATTTGAAAGATCATCGAAACTCCTGTGTGGTTTGTCCACTTGGAAAATTTGAAGGTGGAGAACTAACATTCCCCGAATTGAAGTTGATTATTCACGCCAAATAAGGGCAAGCAGTAGCATTTCAGTCAAATATTTTGGTTCACGGAAATCTCCTGGTCATCACTGGAGTTCGGAACAGCGTAGTTTTTTATATACATAACACGGTGATCAAGCAGAAGCGTAAATTTGACTCTCTTTTTGCCGATTACGAGTTGGACTGGGATCATAATAGCAACGAAGATGAGGTATTACCAAAATATCTCCCCCGATGCTTGGTTCTGGAGATAATGTAACGAAACAAAAAATCATAGGCGGAGTTATCTCAGTAAGTGTAATTATCATATCTTTTTTATTGAACTTTTATATAGTCACTTTATAGTAGATTTGTGTTTCTGGTACATATTCATGAACAGTACATAATATATATTTCTCTCAGATTTAGAGCCTGCAAAGAGAGGATTACCTGCTCAGTACAAAAAATCTTGATGAGAAGCAGGTCGTTAGGCGACTAATTAGAGATTCGAGGCTCTACCTCTTCTTTGAATCATATCAGGATAATGTCAATTTTTTAATGTAAATATATCAAATAAAGAATCTTATTTGTAAATATATCATCAATTATTACAGGTTAAATAAAGATTTTTGCATATACTGTAAATATATCAATCATGATTATTTTTTCGATCTGTACAAAAATAAATCGCATTATTACATAATATAAAGAATCTAGGCCCTACGGGGCGCTCTTCGAGCATCAACACTAAAATTGAATTACAGTATATTATTCTAGAGTGTATAGTTATTAAATCAAATAGTTCTAAATATCCTAATCGATAAATATGTCTGGTTTTGATATCGCTACTATTATTGATAAAAAAGATAAAACATTTCCTAAACCATATATTAATCGTCCTGGTTTTGATATGAAGTATGCTGTATCATATACAGTATAAGAGTAAAATTATTTACATATAATTAAAATAAAAACCAATTTGTTTTATTAGATTTTCATTATATGTAGATTTTAAAGTACATGTATATAAAGGGAAAATTACAACAGCTTATATGTTAAAAAATATAGTAACTCATAGTAAACTATTATTTATAAGGCAAGTAATTCTGATATTAATAAAGTTATAATATATAATTTTTGATATGATTATATAAAACCTTGTTATAAAAACAAAATTCATTTACTTTATATAGATACAGATTCTCTTATTATATGAAATAAGACAAAGGATATTTATAAAAATCAAGTTGAAAGATTAGATATTTTTGATCTTAACTATTTAAAAAAATTTTATTTTTAATAAAAAATAAAATAAAGGAAAATTCAATAAATGAATCAGTTTATTTGAAATTAAAAATGTATTCAGTTTTTTCAATTGAATATAATCCAAAAACTCTTGAAATAATTGCAAATTTGAAAAAAGAGTTAAAAAAAAAAATCCAAAAAAATCGCAAATAGAACTTTAAAAAAAGCTTATTTTTTTGACTTGTATAGGTTTGTATAAGTTTATATAAACTTGTATAATATAAATAATATTGTAAAATTTGATTAAAATATAATTTACTATATAAAAAAATTTGAGAGCCAGTTTGACTTAACTTATTAGAAGCTCTAATTTCAAGATATGAAAACTTGATAAAAAAAATATAAAATATAAAAGACTAAAGACATTAAGAAATATATAGTTAAAAAAAACTATAGACTTGTGAATCTATAATATAGTGATTAACACTTTACAGATCAGATCACAAGATACTAGTTCAATCCCAAGTGAAAGTGATTGAATAGAATCTACTGTATATGATATCTGGTACCATAACCTATTATGTATCATTTCTTATACAAAGCTATTTCATATACTGATCCAACAAGTGTTGAGATTGTGATCTTTAGACAAGATGCCATAGTATATCAATCATCCAGTTAGTGTTACGATAATCATACTGTATTTGATGCATTCCCTAGTTTCACCTAGGTTATTTCCCTTCTTCTATAGTTTATGAGATTATAAAAGAAAACCTGTTAATCCAATTAGACAACTTTGAAGATGACTGAAAATATGATATAGTCTGAAATAGATAAAACCTAGAGCCATATTTATAGGAGTTGTATCCTGCTTGGTATTTGTATCTCTAGATTTAATAGCCTAAGCCAACCATAAGCCTATGGAGTGTCTATTGAAAGAGTAAGAAATAATCCTTAAGGAGTCATGCCCTACTTGGTCAACAATTGAGCCCCTAGATTTGATAGTGTATACCAACTATAGGAACAACTTTTAGAGCATTTATTAGAAAATGTAAATAAAGTAAGACTATTGGATACTATCTACAAATAAAGTATTTGGATATGTAATAAGAAATCTAATGACAATTAATAGGTATAAGCTCTCTAAGTGGTTCACACCTAGGTATGAATCCACCTCTGTAGTATAAGTTAGTATTTCGGTTGGAATTAGGGCAAGATCATTGGTTAATTAGCAATATCTAAAACTATTCATGTAATGGTTATTTGTAACTAAAGATTTACAATAAAATCCTTGCATATATCATATAAAGAGGTTACATATAATTAAGTCGATTTTTGTAAATCTTTTATCACCTGATTTTTTTTTACTTTATTTACCACCCTTATAAAAAACTTATCAATGAGTTATGAATCCTTTTTTTTTAATACATTCTTTAATATGTTTAGGTATAGTATCTATAAATTCAATAATTTTTTTAGCCGAAATATTATTTTACCCTGCAATAAACACATTTTTTAATTTGAATTCAGTTTGTGGTTTTCTATTTTTGTAAATCCAGCACTTGACTTCTCACCATATATTTTCAATTGGACTGAGATTAGGATACTGCAAAGGTCATTTCATAGTCTCAATTCCAAGCTCAAATTTAAGCTCCTTTATAACTTTACTCTTATGTATAAGTAGATTATTCTCCTGAAGTATCGTCATATTAGAAACCATAATTATTGGATAAATGGTTTCAAAAATAATATCTGCATATTCTTCATCATTTATATGTGATGTAGTATAAAGTAAATGACATAAACTAGACTTATTTATATATCTCTAGACCATTATGAATTTGTGATTACTTTTAACGGTTGCTTGAGTACAAGATAGATTGTATAATTCATCTTTATAGTACCAAATATAAATCTTTCCATTTGAATCTGTACTAATAAAAGATTAATTGGTCTATAAGATATGTTGCCAATCTTCTTTAGATTAATTTTTATAAGCTTTGGCCCATTTTAATTATTTAATATAATTAGTTTCACTAATCATTAATTTTTTTCTTGTAATATGAGAATACATATCATTTCTATTTAAAACTCTTTTTAAGATAATTGAAAATATAGGCTTAGTTAAGAATTTGGTGGCAAGTAGTCATTTTGGCATTCTTCAAATTTCTAGATTTGATTTTATCTTTTGTAAAATTAAGCATTAATTCACAAGTGATTTTTGACTCTTATTTATTTTTCTTAAATAACTTGAATTTCTGGTTGATTTTAGATATCTAATACAATTCTTAACACAATTGTCTGATCTTTTGAGAATTTGTGTAATTTTGACTACTGACATGCTTTTTTCTTTAAGCCTTTCTATAATAGAGTATTCAGAATCTGTTAAATCATTTTTGCAACCCATTGGAGTATACAAAAAAATTTCTGAATTTTTATTCTTTAAATAATAAATTAAACAAAAGACAAATGTCTTTTATTAACACACAGTAACAAGCAGGAGTAATTTTAAGACTAGTGATTGATTGCTGAAATCTTTATAATATAAAATTGCAAGAATCAATCTAATCATATATAACCCCTCTGTACCTTAACTCCAAATATATATATATATAGTTAAGAAAAACTTTAGTTTAATAAATTTTTAAAATTCTTTGAATTAAAAAACTAATATAATATAATATGTATGGTCTTTGCAGTTATAATTACAAATATATTTGAAAAGAATAAATAAATTAAATTAAATCTATATAATAATAAGTATAAAAATAAATATACTCTTTCTGCTGATCCTTTTGCCAATACAAAAAACAGATGTTCCAAGAAAATTTTTATATTTCTTTATAATAAAGTATATATGCTTTCATTAACAACACTCACACTAAAAGACTACAGTCTCCCCCACTTGTTCTTTTCTTTCTTTGACATAAACTTCTTATATTTCTGCAAGTAAATATAAGAAATATTCACCTATAAAGTTAAAGGCAAAAAAACTTTGTTAGGAAAAAGAACCTGTAAAAAAAACACACTTCTCTTTTCCTCTAGAGATTCAAGACTCTAGAAAAGACTGGCACAGTTTTTGGAACTCTTCTCTCATCTTCCTCAAGCTTCCTCCTATTTTTTCAAGTGTGTAAACTTTTTTCTGGTTTTTTTGAAGAATTTTGCCTATCTCAGTTTGACCCTGAATTTCTGGTTACACTAGAATTCTTGAATAATAATTGGCTCGAATTTAGAACTGGTTAATCTATACGTAGCAAAAAATATAAACAAGACACGTAACTTCTCATGCCCTATCTCGTATAACACAAAATCCAATGATGCAATTGGATATAGTGAAAAGAGCAAGGTGACGAGGTACTCTTTTTTATTAAGAAGTATTATGGTGTTCTTCCCTCCCCTCTTGGATTGGTTTCTTTTTTTTTCAAGATCAAAAGAAGTCTCATCCCAATCCAATAAGAAGCTTCTTCTTTTGTTGATTATCCTGAGAAGGCAGCAAGCATTAATGTAAGTCTTGTCTCAAGCAATAATTCCCAATAGGTATAAGACTTGTTTCAAGCAGCATATAAGTCTTGTAATAAGTATCTTGAATGTTCTTGGTCAATAAAGAAAATGATAGAAATTAAATAGTTCACCTAGTTACAGGTGATGGTAAAGGATTTATTCCGATGGACCGAAGTTGATATTGGAGGGTTTTTATTTACCAGAATAAACTTTTCATTTACCCTTTTTACTTTCTTTTTTTTTCTTAAAAATAAAAAATTTTTTTACTTCTTAGGACCACAGGTTCATGTTGGGGTGACAGTCTAAATGTAGACTGGTAATGATTTTTCTTAAAGCCAAGGAGCAGTCTTAGAAAAGAAGCGATTTTATCATTCCCCACAATTATGCTTAGAAAGTTAAGATTTGAAAAGTCTAAGAAAGTTAATATTATACAGTAATAGCTTAATGAACCAACTTCCTTGTAGTAAAATAGTTAGTAAATAGTTAAATTATGTGGGCAACACAGTGGTCTTGGTATTAAAAATTCAAGGATCA